TTTCTCAGAAATGTATCTGCTGAGTCTGTATCTTTGTTAAAACGTCATATGTTCTGCCTAATATGCTATGAGTTTTGGCAATTTTCTTTAACAATAGGACTGTGGAACAACAAAGATGGATGTTGGAATTTCACTCATTTTGTGCCTTTTTTGCTTTAGGAAATAAACATTTTTTGTATTGAAATAATATGTTTTAATATTTTTTTCATTAAAAAAATATCTTAATTGCCCTAGCTGGTTTGGCTCAGTGAATAGAGCATCAGCCTTCAGACTGAAAGGTCCTGGGTGAGCTTCTAGTCAAGGGAAGGTGCCCAGGTTGCGGGCTCAATCACCAGTGTGGGGACTGCAGGAGGCAGCCAATCATTCTCTCTCATCATTGATGTTTCTCTCTCTCTACCTCTCCCTTCCTCTCTGAAATCAATAAAAATATATTTAAAAACATTTTAATTTATTTTACTAAATAAATATACTTAATTAATTTTAAAATATTTTCATTGATTTCATAGAGCAAGGGATGTAGAGAGAGAGAGAGAGAGACATTAATGATGAGAGCCCAGCAAGGGTGCTCAGTCGTCCCATGAACCAGGAGGTCACAGTTCCATTGCCACTCAGGGCACATGGGTGGGCACATACTGTGAAAAACAAGTATGAGGTATGTCCCCATGCCAGAGCTATTGGAGAAGGTCCAGTGGTAAGGTGTCTACTTGTGTAAGGCAGCTGTGCCTGCAGCCTGCCTTGGCTCCAGCAACTCCAGCCACCCCCTGCAGACACATTCCCAGGCAGGCACTTCTCACTCCCCCGATGGCCGCAAGCACCTTTGTCTTTGGGTGCATTTTAGTGAGAAATGGGACCTATAAAAAGCTGCTGACTCTGCTGCAGGGAGGCAGGTGCTGTGCCACTCAGGTCTCATTGTGGTGCGTCCCATATCAAATTGCTGAAAAAGTTCAGTGTCTTTTTCAGAAATGAAGTCAGCTCCCCAAGTTTACACCACAGACAAGAGTCAGATTCAAGGAGCTGGATATTAACCATTGTTTTCTCCAGCGTCAGACAAAGTCTCTACCACTGATGTGCAGCGCTTGCTGGAGCAGGTACAGTCTGAGGACAAGGGTGGCTCAGCTGCAGCTCCTGTTTCCATGGTTGCAGTTATGCTTTTCCTCCCATTCCCTGTACATCTCAGAGCACTTACCCTTGTCCCCCCCGCCCCCGTGTTCAGTGGAAGGCTATCACTTCTCTGCTGCAGTGCTTTCTCCAGGGGAACCTTTTTTAAGAGTGAGCTGCAATTTATCTCCCTTCCCTTCGATCTCAGCAGAGACTATGACCCTCGGGAGACCTCGGTTATTAGCGCTTTGTCTCTGCACCTTTGCCCACATGTTGGTTGTCATGCTGTGACCCCATTCACTGTGATGAATTTCTTGCCTCTTCAAATGATCTTCATATGCAACACTGACACCCTTCAGGAGAGGATACACTTTGACGTGAATTTTGGGACATAATATTGGAAGTGATGCTGGAGTCCTACATGATCCAGGTCTCATTGGACGGGTGCTCACCTCTTATTCATGCATAGGACCCACTGCCATGTGATTCTGTCCTCTATATCCCTACTGGCAGAATGAGACAATGGCTCTCACCATGTTTTCCCTGCAGCCCGGATCATGTTTTGGATTCCTGTCCTCCTTCCCTGTCTCCTGTGTCTGCACCATGAGTCTTTTGGTTGGAACAGAGACCTTTTGAATACAAGCCCTCACCACAGTGCACAGCACACTGGGCCACAACTGAGGTTCATCCTGTGCTTTTCTTTACAATCCATCCTAACTCACTCTCCACACACAACATTTTTTTATTGTAGGTGAAGGTGGCTTTTCAGATGATGGTGTTTGCTGTTTTGGCCAGTTACTCTGTTTTTTTTTTCGTCGTTTCCATGTATACCAATATGTCAAACTCAAAGGCTAATATGGGCCATATAAACAAGGTTTAAGTTTATGTGGGCCGCAATAATATAAAAGCTTCAATTTTCATAGAAATGTAGGTTTATTTTGATAGAGACATGCTGAATACGAAGGCCTGAAATAAATGAGTCATCGTTAATGAATATTCGTTGTGGGCTTCCTGCAGCCCAGGGACCGCAAGTGTGACATGCTTGATGTATACAGTAGGTATACATGTTAATAACTTTTTTATTGTTTTGCCCTGTTAATCTATGTTATATCCATTTAATTCTTAGACTAACCAAAGAAGCTAGAAAAGAAGGGAAAATTATGATGCCTCTACAATGTCATTTCCTTCATCTTCTTTCACAATCACTCCCGTAACTCCACAAAATAAAGGAATACTGTTAAGTTTTGGGCGGTGATACAGCCTGTGAAAGAATTCACAACTAAAAGAAGCAATGCAAAGAGGAAGTTTATTTTACTTTCCAAGAGAGTAAAAGGCCAAGTATTGCTAGTCAATTCAGGGCAGGGAAGAAATGGTGGCTTCTGCTTTTCAGTAGTGCCTGGTACTAAGAGACAACCAATGGAGGGGCCATGGGCTGAGCTGAAGTTGTGTATATGAGGGGCTGTCCTTAAAAGTTACAGTTTGCTTGTTTTCCAGGAGACAGTCTGGCAGATGTTCTACAGAGGTGTCTTATCAGTTTCTTCCCCAGCCTATAAAATATGACCAGAGAAAAAGTTATGAAGAGTTCAAATGAGGCTTGTTTGAAAGGGTGGAGGGGAGTAAACTTTCTACTAACTAGAGACTCCTTGGTGTGAGTTATCCCTGAGGTGTAACAACAGCAGGAAGGAGGGGTATGTAGGAATTTAGCCTTAAAAGTAGCTTATCTTGTTCTGCAGTTTGAACAGAGGAGCTCTTTGAATTAGAGGAGCCATTAATTTGGGGTTTAATTAGCAGGTGCTTCTCATAAATTGTGGAAGGTCACAGAAAAGAAACAGAAAGACCTTCTTCTTGTCCTTACAAATACCTTGACCACTTTTAGAACCTAAGGCTTTATTGACCTGAAGAGTGAATACTTCTAGGAGACCTAATAAAGGGAAACCAGCAGTACTGGGGGCATTGTGTTCAGGAGGATGTCAGCAATGGGTCCCGAAGGAAATAAACCACTCAGTGAAATTTCTCCTGACCTCATAGGTTTTAACACCACAGTATGGACAAAAATGATGGTGTATACTAAACATGGCAAGCTCACGTATCCTGGCATCACATGGTGAATCTTACAAACTCCAAGGCCAAAAGTAACGACCTATGATGGTTTGAAGTTAAAACTTTCTAAGTAAAAGCGAGTCGCAGGGGTAGTTTTGTCCTAGCCTCCTTCGTTTTGTTTTGTTTCTTTGCAAAGGTCAATCTTTACCTTATTAAGCCTGTCTATTGCATTTTTTGTATCTAGGATAACATACCTTTGGATTTTCAGGAAAATTTCCTTTTTTACAGACTCCTAAGGGCACAATCTCCAAACACAGAAGACCTCAGAGCTAAAATTATTATTGTTGCTGTGTTAAATATTAACTCTTAACTATTGTAGAACATTTTAAAAAGAAGTTTGTGTCTATTTTTTTTTTTACTTTTTATCCAATCCCAGAGATTTCCCTCTTCAGTTCCCCCTTACACTCTAATTTTTTACCAGTGAATTTCATGTAACCCCCATATGTCTTCTCCTTTGAGTCTCATGTATGAAAAAGGTGCAAAACTGCCGTTCCCCTTTGCATTACTCAATGTGTTGTTGTTTTGCTTCCTGGCAAATGTTGGTGACTTGGGTCAAATAAACTTAGAAAAATTTCCCACAGGTTTGGACATTTCTTACAACAACATCAAAAGCAATTGACTCATGTGAAGCAGGAGAAGGTTACATGGAAGGGTATCAGCATTTCCCAAGACAGAGATGAATGAAGACACATTTATGAATACAAATTTAAAGGCAACCCAGAACACAGCAAGCTAGCTTTCTCCTTGCTTACAGGGAACAGAAGAAAATGCTCAAGGCTCAGGTGGCTTTGTTTGGTGTGTGTGTGTGTGTGTGTGAGTGTTTCTTTAATCCTCACCCAGGGGTGTTTATTCTCTCTCTCTCTCTCTCTCTCTCTCTCTCTCTCTCTCATTTTATATAACCCTCCCTTGCCTTCCATCTGAGACTTTGCACTCTGTACCAAGCTTCCATGTCTCTGGAACCACTCCATTCTTCAGTTAATTTTGTTATTTAGGTTCCATCTATGTGTGAGATCAAGTGATGCTTTTCTTTCTCTGACTCATTTATTTTAGTTAACACGAGGCTCTCCAGGTCCCTGCATGCTGTCTGAAAGGGTAAGAGATTCTTACTTTTTACCACTGCATAGTATTCTGGTTGTTGATTCAGGTTTATTAGGATATATTCTTAGAACTGGGTCAAATGACAGTTCCATATTTAATTTTTTAATGAAACTCCCTATGTTTTCCATAATGTGTGCACCAGTCTGCATTCCTATCAGCAGTGTACTAGGGTTCCCTTTTTTCCATATCCTCGCCAGCACTTGTCCTTTGTTGATGGTAGTCATTCTGACAGTTGTGAGGTGGTATCTAATTGTTGCTTTAATTTGCATCTCTCTGATAATCAGTGACTTTGAGCATTTTTTCAAATGTGTCTTGGCCATCTTATCCACACTGCAGTCCTGGCAGAGCTGACACTTTGGCCCCAGAAGCAGATGCTCTTAAATAGTGATGTCTGTTTTGAGACATTAACTTCGTACAATGGAGGGAGGATAGGTGCTTTAGACACTTAAGCAACCTCTGCAAGCTACATTAAGCCTGAAGGGGACAGAAGCCCAATGCCCTGAAAGAACACCCAATGCCTGTCATTCAGAAAAGAGCAGATTCTGAAGAAAGATATGCAAAACCAGCAACTAAAGGAAGCCAGGCAGGTCCCACAGAAACAAACCTGTTCTAGAAATCCCCTCCCCTGAAGGCGCTGGAGGGCCCTGAGTATACCTGGTGTGTTCTAAGGCTATTTGCCGGTTAAAACCAGTCCTGGAGTCAGCTGAGGAGGAAATACAGCCTGGCCAGGGAGCGTAGGAACTACATTACCCAGAAGGCCGGGCGTGGAATGCCACCAGGCTGAGCCAATGGAAGCTCAGAAAAGGCGTTTCCGTTTTTCAAGTTCTGGTGGGCGGGACCGGTAGTCTTCTCCATTTTGTCTGAAGCGGTCGGCGGCAACTGATTACAGAGAGAAGGCTGGAGAGTGGTCGTCCCCGCCTCACAGCCCATGGTCGGAGCCTCCAGTGGTGCTCACAGCGCACACGTGGGATTGAAGCTCGGAGTCGCCACCAGACCCGCCCAGGGCCGGGACAGGGACCGCCGTTCTTGCAGCGGCTTCTGCTCCCGCCCCGCTCCGCCCACAGAGGGCAATGGCAGCGCAGGTGCTGAGGAGACGGGCTGAGGTGAGTGTGTCCCCCGGGTCCTCCCCTCATCGCTACTTACACCGAACAGGACAGCCCGGGTGCAGGCGCCTGTCCCGTCCTGCAGCTCAGTCCCGCGTGGAGGACCGTGAGGAAGGTGGAGGGGAGAGAGGAGTGTTGTGGCTTCTGAGGACACAGCAAGTGCAGGGCAGAGAGGACGGGGGTGACTTGCATCTGAAGGTCCCTGAGGATGTGG